ACATTAGTGTAAATACTTGTTTATAAGCTTTATTGTGTCATTAATTTAAAGAAAAATGTTCTCCCATGAAGAACAAGGTGGTGTTTTCGAGCATCTTCTTTAAAAAAAATTGTTATTGTATTTTGTAAGATTATAAGTTGATGTTGAAAATAAAGTTTGTCGATACAATTTAATTGTTTCAGATTGGAGGCCATAACTTCAACAATTTGTAACCTAGGAGAAAAGTTATTGTAAGCTTTTTTGTTTAAAATTTGATGCTTTAACAGAAAAAAATATAATATACAGGGGTTTCCATTTAAAAAAATGTTATTTTACTGAAAAAAATCAAAATAACGACTCTCAATTGTTTTTTTTATTTCTCATTTTTACCAGCGTTAAAAATGCTACTAGTTTGCTAATTCAAACAAGTTTGTATTTTCACTAATAACAAAGTTACTAATGGTGGACACTTAATTTGGATAACCCTGTATTTTACGGTTATGCGTTTTTTAGGGGTTAAGTCATAAATTATTGAGTAGGGATCTTAAAACATTTGTTACCATGAACTATTTCAATTGAGAGAAATATAAAAATCAAACTTCATCTTCAAGACATCGTATTTTCGTTCAAATTAAGATCAGTGTATATCCTCAATTTCTACAAAATTCAAATACCTTTTTCGACTATCGCGAGCAACTCATCAAGAATGTCCATTTTTGTTTAAACGGTAGAATGGAACTGTCGTTTCTTACTCTGTCACGAAACACAAGCACCGACCGAAGATATTGAGAATAAGCCTCTGAACGCTGTTTACACTCCGCGATAACTGACAATATTTTCAAAAGATTCTCAATTTTTCTGTTCCAATGACGCCTCTCATTGGCTGAAAACCAGCTCAATTCCATTGGTCAACCATAACTTATGAATCCTAATGACGCATCTGATTCGTTGAAACCCTTAAGCCCTTTGGCTGATTCATTCCATTGGTCAAACATTTCTTATCCATCCTTTCACTAATCTGAAATAATCCTCAGGCTACTTTAAAACGACTTTTATTGCTCCGTGGAAATCCACAAGATGAAAAGGAAAACAATAAAAAAATTACGTGGAAAAAGATCCCTTCTTAAAGACGCAGGTAAGTCGCGTACACTTTAGCCCAATTGCCAAGCTTTAATTTTATCATGGCTTTGAAATAAGTTAAGTATACGACAAAAATAGTTGATGTTTTATTATAATGCCAAGATAGAGCAAGGTCCTAGCATTCGTGGAAGACATTTTCTACCGGATTTTTTTGAGAGATTGCACTCTTTAATAATAATAAATGGCCTTTATTTTACCTGGCGGGTCGTACCAGAACCAACATGGGATAAAAAAGATAGTGAAAAGTACATGCAAATACAAAAAATACACAGTAGATAATAGGAAAATTTAAAGCAGAAAAAATGTTACAGAATCGTAGCCTATGCATGGTGTAAAGACCAAAAGAGCATCAACAGAGTGCGTAGCAGAATCAAAAACCATGCTTAGAAGTAACTTTAACAAACACCGAATGTATTTGTCCCGTACAAACCTTTTTAGGTTTTTCAGATCAAATTAACAACAAAAGTCAATAGAGTAAGCAGTTTAAAATATCTTTAACGCAGATAGAGAAGCGACGTCAAAACGAGCTTCATATCGCATAGTTTTTCGCTATTCACACGTTTTTTGAATTATCTTCAAACTTTTTCTCAAAAAACGAACATGGGACGTCGCGTCGTGAATATTTTTACGGCTATGAGGGATTAAATTGCTAAATTATTGATTAGGGTTCTTAAAAGATTTGTTACCATACACGAAACATTACGCTTTTAATTCCAACTTTAACAATATTATACGATTGAAAACTTTTTTCTTCAAACATCGTTCAAAGATTGGTAGAATCTACAGCCTCAATTTCTACAAAATTCAAATACCTTTTTCGATTATCTCGAGTAGATCATCCAGAAGGTCACCGTCCATTTTTGCTCAAAGTGGGGTTTCTTACTATGTCACAAAACACGAGTACCGACTGAAGATGTTCAAGAACAAGCCTCTGAAACGCTGTTCGCAGTTCGAGATAAAAGCGATAACTAACAATATTTTCAAAAGATTCCAATTTATCAGTCGTAATGACGCCTCTTATTGGCTGAAAACTCTCAAGCCCTATAATTGATTCCCTTGGTCAAACGCAGGTTATTGCACCCTTTCACGAATATGCGATAATCCGCGGCCTAGCTACCTTCAAATGACTTTTATTGCTCGTTGGAATGTAATGAGACTTGCCCAGTCCTCTTAACGAAAACAACTCAAAAATTACCTGGAAAAGGTTTCTTCGGGAAGACCCAGGCGAAAAACAGCAATCTGTATTCATTTATGAGCAGATTTGATTTCGTTTAAATAAAATATATTTTTCTGATATTGTCTCATTAACGGTATTACAAATAAACGATTTTTTACGCGATTGCAAAAACAAAGAGATCAAATTTACTTAGAAATAAGCGGGAATTTCAAGGATAAAATTTATTTTATAAAATAAAAAAGTGGTACATTAAAAGATGCTTCTTGATACGCAGTACATGCATGACAAATTCCATTAAAATATCTTTAGTGGTATTACAGGTATTAATAAATTACTTATTTTCGATAACTTTACCAGCCTGTATCTCAAAAGTCAAAGCGTCTAGGGGAGGGGGGGACAGCGCCCAAATAAGTACATGATTAAACCAAAGAATCGATGAGGTAGACAAAAAAATTTATGAGCAGGTTTGATCTCAGATTTTTAACCCATCGCACGGTTTTTCTGACATTTTTATTTTTTTACACCAAAACCGTGCAAAGGTTTGGGCAATCAAGCAATCAAAATTACCTAGAAACCAATGAGGATTTCAGGAATAAACTTTATCTTAAGAAAAATCAGGGTCGTACCATCAATACGTCACATATGCAGGTGAAATTCCGTTCGAACGCCACTGGTTGAAATTACAAAAAGTGCAGTACATCAAAAAATACTTCTTGTAGCATCATACACATTTTCGGTGATTGACAATCAATTAGGAAACACCCTGTACGAGTAAACCGAATTGAGGGTCGATCACCCCCGGCAATGCACTCCGTGTCTTCTTAGAAAAAAGAACCCTCTCGACTTCGGATGTCGAACGACCGGCCCTTATAACATATAACGCAGACGATGTTGTCTCTAAAAATAGGATGCAATTTGGAGCGGTTTGATTTCGTCTCTCTCGCTCGAATCACCAGACGCGTGGGAGGTTCACTTTTTATTTGAGATTATTTAGTGGACATTAGACTAAGCCCGAAATTAATCTGCATCAACTATATGAAATTGTTGCTTTGGTGATGGGTATCTTGCAAAGCGAATACGACCTGAAGAGTGAGTGACGTTTAAAGCTGAAACCCAGCACTATTCATGCATAAAATTTTATATAAACAACCGCATTGTTCGCTCTATCAGGATCCAAACCGAGCGAATGTTAATATTTACGAATTTATCGGTAACAATGGCGATAAAAATACATACAAAAGTTTTAATCAGATATTATAAATTGTATCATTTATAATGTAGTTAACCGAACAAATTTTCGCTCTTTGGCGGACAGCCAAAAGCACGCGCGATGCTCGCAAATTCAGTTTGATATAGATATTTTACAGAATACATAATGCGCGAATATCCTGTGATGCTCAAACATGGAACGATGAGATAATCCGTCGATGAGCCGGCCATACCAGGACCATTCCGAATATTTAATTAGAATAAACACCTTACCATCACTGTCAATTTGCATCCTCACAGCGATGTCTCATTAATTCCCCAATAGAAACATACTCCATTTTTGTTGTTCAATCTTAAACGTGGTTAGATGAGTGAACAAAGAGAGAAGAACAACAGATATCTTACGCATCTGGCAGTTTCCCTGTTCCGAGTGGCAACGTTGGCACCTAAAGACGGTGGTCAAGGGGTATACAGGATCGGCAGAAAATCATTGAGGTCCTTGATTTTTACGTGTACGAACAGAGATAGAGAAAAGAATACGTATGTTAGAGAGGATGTACGTTAAATGATAATTTTTCAGTCAAAAGTAGCTCCCAAGTCCTTGATCTGGTCTGTAGTTTGTAAAGATCTACTAAGGATATAAGAACGAGAGAAATGTAATTTTGAAAGATCATTTAAAGGTAAAACATTCACTTCACACGAATGAGAAGTCAAAATCTTAACATCATCCGCAAATAAAATAATTTCGCTGCGTACCAAACTCACAAGATCATTAATAAATACAGTGAATAACAACGGCCCTAGGTGGGAGCCCTGTGGGACTCCGAAAGCTAGATCTATCAGATAAGTAACTACTTAGCATTCCCTGTATAATTATGACGTCATTGTACATATTCCCGTCTTCGGGTAGGCACGATTTTCAGTCGAAATGGGTATTTTCTGGCGGAATATGTTAATCAATAAAATACTATCTAAATATAGCCTTAGAAAAAGTAATTTACGCTGCCATCGCCACCGAAATCAAATCTGTTCGATATCTAAACGATTAAGTAAACATTCCGCGTTAGATATGCTCTCACCAAATAAATTTGATAAGGTCCGTCTGATCATGAAACGCGGCTTGGCGCTTTGCTTAGCCTGCTTATACAACAGTGCGTAACATGCTAAACTTTCACTACTATCTTCATTCGCTAGAAAATATTATTTCAACGTATCTCAGTTAATCGGCCAATTAATATTAATGATACGATGTACTTTGATCTTTGTATGTCATGTGCGCTTTGCGATTTATCATATTTCTAGAGTGTGAATCAATTAGCTGTTCATTTATATGCAGAGTGTTTAAAAATTATAATGCTTACAGATATTTCCTTTTTCGGTTTTCTTCTCATGTGATAATACAAAAAAATAAAATATCAAAGTGTATTAACAAAACGCCGCGCGATAAAATGAAACAAGTATTTATTTTTTAGCCCAGGAAGGTCCAGAGACTTACCTCGAGCGATCCCAGATCAGGAATAATCCCACCTTTGCAGATTATGCATTATTTGCCCACGATGTGCACGTTTCTCAACGGATGCGGTTTAGGGTATCTATCGATCTATATGGCGCCTATGTGGGTGATCACTCTTGGCAATATTTATATAATTTTTCGAGATAATACAGAACTAACGTAACCCCTGATATTTATCCTGTGGTTTTCACGTTTATAGGACTCCATTGTCTGTCTTAATTTTTGTTTTTTTTGTACAAAGTTCCGGTCTTTTTGAATCAGGTATCGGAGGTCATTAACTTCAAATAAATCAACTTGGAGAAGTTATTTCGAAAATAGTTTATAGCTGATTCAAATTAAATAAAAACGTGAAAAATCAGTGACCCCTCAACCGTGTTCTCTCATTTTGACTGGAAAATAAATTATTTCCACGATACGTAGTATATCGTTAGAAAGGTAATAAACCACAGGGAAAAAACGAAATAGTTTCTTATAATCGAATTTTGCATTTCAAAATTTTTACAATTATTTTATGTCTTGTTTCTATGAACTACTTATTTGCTCTGATTAAGCATGTATACTAAGTGACATATAAATCCGAACACCCAGTTTAAATCGTTTTATTTTAATAAAATTTTGTATAAGTACTTAATGAAGCATAATAAGTAAATGATAAAAATTTCAAAATGATTGCACTGCTTTAAAGCCCATTGACCTTTAATAATGTGTGGATGCACCCTGATGTGTTACGCATTCTCCAACGCGCCTAGGCATGCTTCTGATCAGATGGTCAATGTCCTCCTGTGGTATCTCAATCCAGGCAACCACCAACTCCTCTCGAAGTGCTTCTAGAGTCTGAGGCGGACGTTGCAAATTGAGCAATCTGGGGTTCTAGAACTTCGTGGATATAACTCTGCGCGTTCATGTTACCTCTGATGAAGATTAAAGGTGACCTGGAACCATAAGCTATAGCACTCCAAACCATAACTCCAACAGTGTGATGAACATGCCTTCCAACAAAAAACTGTGGATTCCTCCTTGCACCACGTCGCCTTCTAACCCTGGCACGACCATCGTGCATGCCTAAACAAAATCGAGACTCGACACTAAAGACAATACTGTTCCATTCCTGATCCCAGAGTGACCGTTGTCTGCACCACTCAAGGCGATTACGTCGGTGTTCTCGAGTTAAAGGGAGGACCCAGTGTGGCCGGTATGAAAACAAGGCAAAACTTCTCATTCGTCGGTAAACACTTCGTATGCCAATAGGTCTTCCGTGTTCTGCAAACCATTCCTTTGCAATGGACCTGGCAGTGGAGAAACGGTCCCTTAAGGCCAATCATCTTAGGCGGCGATCTTCACGGTCTGTTGTTCTACGGCGGCGTCCAGTGCTCCTTGCTCTTTGCGTACGGCCTTCTCGAAGCCATGCCTGACAACACCTAACCACAGTGTCTACACTTCTTTGCACTCTAACTGCAATTGCCCGAAAAGAAAGTCCAGCTTCCCGAAGTCCCACTATACGGCCCCTATCAAACTCACTAAGTTGACGAAATCGTACAGGTCTCCGTACTCTAGGCATCGTGACCGATCGTAATGGATGTCAAGAACCAAAATCCGCCAACGTTGATTCTTTACTGCGGCTGAAATATTCATTTTTAGAGCGTTAGTGAATTAAAAATAAGCAGTATAAAAACAGGAATGTCCAACTGATAAGGCTGAAAATTTTTTCACTTGTCATTTACAGTAAGATAAATACATTCACCAACTTTTATTAAAATAAAACCATTTAAACTGGGTGTTCGGATTTATATGTCACTTAGTATATGTTCAAACTGAAAACGCTTTTTGTTCAATTGGTATGGTCCCATGTCGTGCGTCGTTTTTACATTCAGTCTGGAACACCGTTGTTTTGTATGATACTGACAAACTGAAGGAAACTGACTGACTTCAATGATAATCTGTTGAAGTCATAACCTTCAAATACGCACATCAAAGCGTGACACTCTATCGAAATTAAATTACTACGGTCTTTCTGATGGTCCTCTTTTGTTTTTTTAAATCTTGCTTAGACGATCGTAAGCAACGGGTAAGAACAAGCCAAGGAGTTTCTGCTAGTGCTGATGTTGCTTCTGGTGGTTCACAAGGATCCGTACTTGGTCCCTTGCTATATCTGATCTATACTTTCGTTTTGCGTGTCTTAGAACACTGGTTCACAGACTCAACTCAACTAACTTTGGTCAAGAGTCGTATGAAATTAATTTAGACCCGTAAATAACCATTGCAAGGTCAACTATCGCACCAAGAGTTTTGCAATGTTATTATATCCAAAAACCAATTATGAACCGGTTAGGTTTCATATATTTCATCAATTTTAAGACTCGAAAGAAATTATTAGAGTTTGGTTATGTGTTTTACCGTTTCGTCCTATTTTATCCCTGTCTTTACTCCATAACAAACACCAGATTGCAGAAAATTCAAAACTGTTGCTGTCGTTTGGTTTTCGGTCTTCGTAAATACGGCCGTGTTACATCTAAGATTAGTGAATTGGCGTTGTCGAAGCTCAAACATCTTTTTGAGTTTCTATACACAAATTAATCATCACCAAGAGACCTGCGTACTCAGCAAGTACTCGTAAGTCAGTTCCTCGTCGAAATCTTATTACAAAAGGGTTACCAGTTGGATGTTCATCTTCCCCGTACTTAATTGTATCAAAGAACAGTGTTTTTCAGTTATACAAAGTATACCTGTCTTTAAACATCTCTGAATACTTGGGATCTAATGTAAAAGCTTTTGTATTCTTTTATACGATCGCATTTTGGAAGTGGAATGATAATTGTCTTGGAAGAAGTGCGGTCATTTATGCTAATTTCTTAATCCTTTAATAACTTCTATAAACCACGTACATCTACCTGTCGCGGGCATAATCTCGAGTGAATGTTAATAACAGGTAATATTTGTCCAAAGGGATGGATATATCGAAACATTTTCCAGAGAAAAATGTCGTGTCAAAGTTTCAATGTCTGGAGTCATCTACGGGCAATACAGTCTTTGAACGTGACCTTGACTGTGACATTCAAGATCATTTGAAGGTCGAGACAGTTTTCTTGAATAAATACCCGCAGGGGTTTTATGTAAAAAACCTAAATGCATGCATTGTTGGTTGCAGAAAGCCAAATAGTGTGTCAGCTCCGAGACGTGAAAGAAACAAAGTTGGTTGAGTAGCAAGATCGCGTCTGGATGATTATGTATATGTCTGCAGTGATATTTGCGATGTAAGAAAATTATTACTGAATATGCTGGCAATGAAGTATTATTTACCTGTGCCCGACGGGTTATTTATATATTGTCTTTTCTGTAGACAGGTTACGTTCAATGTTATAGATATTACAATTTTCCTGTTTTTTGTCACTTCAATATATGTACTTAATACCCGACTTCGAAAATCGAAAATATAAAGAGCATAAAACTATTCAAGTACGACCACGATCTTGACTTTTACCGTCAAGGTCATTTGAAGATCAAATTAATTTTCAACGTGAAACATCTAACCTCACTTTCTGAAATGAGAGTTTTACGTTCAAGTATACCCTACCAATGAACCTAACTATGAAATTTTGAGGTTAGATACATTTTTAAGAAAGCACCTACCTTTTTGTCTAGATCACAAAAAGGCGAATTTTATGGTCAATGTCACTATTCTTTACTTGGCCATGCCCTTCAAAGTTATTTACATACGTTTTTTCAACTTTTTTATTTATTATTGCTTGCCACTTTTATATATAGGTAGTTACAAAATATAGATCTCTAACATAAAATTTATTACTCCTGTCTTTGTATGTTCTGTGTAGTAGTTAAAAGTTAAAAACCATAATCGCTACGTTTATGTTACATTATGAATGCCTATGTTGCTCTTTGTTATTCACCATGAATTTTTTATTCGATTTGAAGGTCAAACGCTTTTTTCTCTTAATAGCACATTTTTCGATGTATTTTGTTCTTTTTATTTGTTTTAGACGCCCTAAAATGATCTGGAAGGTTCCGTTTTCCGCGTTTTACTTTTCCAATTTAAAAAATAGTTATTTTCATTCAAGAAAACTGTCTTGACCTTGTGGGTCATAGTCAAGGTCGCACTCAAGGTCACTATTAGATCACGCTTAATCCTCGTATATGCAACTTGTATTGTTGGCCTTGGAATGGAGAAACACCTTATACTGTTCACGTATGGTATAAACATGGGGCACGCATAATTTCCCGGAGACATTTATGAGACTCAAAACCAGTATTTTTCATAATATGTCTTGAGAGTTCGTGAAATAGATACAAAACTTGATTCCATAAATAATAATCCACCAAGTCTCTTCATTAGACAATTCATATCAGTCATTCTGCATAGCAAATATTTAAATTGCTTATTATTTGAAAATAATCAGCAATTCCTAATGATGTTTATTGTTATGGTGACGAGGAACATTTGATGGTATGCGGTGTGATTCATATTCTAATGTGAACGAAACGAGTTTCCCTGTAAGTACTTTTGCCATTAACGTTTCTCTATTCTCAAGGGTGATCGCGAATTCAGAAACTGCGTACGCGTACATCGTTATAACTTCAAAATAGAAAGGTCGGACACGTGCTATGAAACATTTAGACCGAGAGATGGTAGATGATTATTGGCATCTGAAAAGCTAAATGAAACGAAGACTGTTTAATGGGCAGTTGGGTAACTAAGAAAATAGCAAATATTGGAATATGGGTGATCGTGAGACCCTTTTGGTGACTCGACGGTGAAGACAGCTTAGTACACAGTAGTCAACCAGCATCCAGACGGTTCGGATGATTGACCCTCCGGATCTTTCTAATTATTATTGAAATTCCCGATAATCTTAGGTATTAGTTCCTAGATCTTTAACGCCGTCATTTACGAAGCTGTAACTAAAACAACGTCCTTCTCCTGAACCCGATAATCTACTGATTTGAACACTTGGAACCAATTCTAATAGCCGTGCAATCAATTCCATATTCACACAGTTAACAACCACTCAAATTAAACTTTTTGTCCGAAAGAAGAAAGTTGCACACAACATTAATGTTATACTGTAGTAGCAGCTAATTAAATCGAAGTTGGCCTGGCCTCGATTTTCAGTTGTTTTTGATAAGTGATTAATACTGCGGCACCGCGTTTGGCCGCGCATCACTAAGGCCGAACGTACACGTTAATGTCTACTGTTAGGCACTGTCCTCACCGAAGCTTACGTCGCGCATTTTTGGAATAAACCTTAGGGTGAGGGTGGATAGATGTCCGCAAGATATTCTTCGTAATTAACGGGCTCTCCTCTTCATTTCACAGGCGTCATTTACACGTAAACGGCTATAACGGTAGCTTCTAAAATCAAGTAGTGCGCGTTGGGTACCTAATTACAGTGTTACTGTGCTTTCCTTTGCTCTAAACATAATACTTTTATATACATGACCGTGAATGTCTTAAACCATATTTTACCTAACCTTAGGCAGTTCAAAAATCGAATTAACAAGGTTTTTTAATCTCCTCACAGCAGCCTCAATGGAGCGGCATTGGCATTTGCCATTTTCGTCCTTTAACAGTAAGGCATTTGCTTGAAGTACAGTACGCCTACAGAAATGGAGCGCCTGAAAAATGTGAATGATGTGACGTCAAGCCGTTTGGGGTGTATGGCCTGCCTTATACCTCTGCCCCTCGCTGTTGTACCGTCGCATGTATTAGAAAAGGATGGTGCGCTTTTTTGTTGGGATTGTTAGCAATGGAATTAATGGGTTTTACGAGGAGCGTATTTTAATGCTTGAGGACATTGATCGTGTTAGTTTCAGGCAGCTTTGATAGAATCTCCATTTATCCAGCAACATATTCGATGAAAAGTTTTTGGGTAATTGATGATTTTTAGTGAAAACTATGCAAAGATTTTCTTTATTTTTTATGCTGTATTTCCTGAAAACGCGTACAAATATCGTTATAGTTTAGTTTGACTAGATAAGATAGTTTAAATGGTTTTATTTTAATAAAAGTTGGTGAATGTATTTATCTTACTGTAAATAACAAGTGAAAAAATTTTCGGCTTTATCAGTTGGACATTCCGGTTTTTATACTGCTTTTTTTTAATTCACTAACGCTCTAAAAATGAATATTTCAGCCGCAGTAAAGAATCAACGTTGGCGGATTTTAGTTCTTGACATCCTTTACGATCGGTCACGATGCCTAGAGTACGGAGACCTGTACGATTTCGTCAACTTAGTGAGTTTGATAGAGGCCGTATAGTGGGACTTCGGGAAGCTGGACTTTCTTTTCGGGCAGTTGCAGTTAGAGTGCAAAGAAGTGTAGACACTGTGGTTAGGTGTTGTCAGGCATGGCTTCGAGAAGGCCGTACGCAAAGAGCAAGGAGCACTGGACGCCGCCGTAGAACAACAGACCGTGAAGATCGCCGCCTAAGATGATTGGCCTTAAGGGACCGTTTCTCCACTACCAGGTCCATTGCAAATGAGTGGTTTGCAGAACACGGAAGACCTATTGGCATGCGAAGTGTTTACCGACGAATGAGAAGTTTTGGCTTGTTTTCATACCGGCCACACTGGGATTTTGTTTAGACATGGACGATGGTCGTGCCAGGGATAGAAGGCGACGTGGTGAAAGGAGGAATCTACAGTTTTTTGTTGAAAGACATGTTCATCACACTATTGGAGTTATGGTTTGGGGTGCTATAGCTTATGGTTCCCGGTCACCTTTAATCTTCATCAGAGGTAACATGAACGCGCAGCGTTATATCCACGAAGTTCTAGAGCCCCATCTTTTACCCTATCTTGACACCCTGGCAGATCCAACTTTCCAACAAGATAATGCCCGACATAATGATGTCACATTGTTACCATGGCCACCAAGATCTCCCGACTTATCCCCAATTGAGCACGTGTGGGATATGATGGGTAGGAGATTGCTCAATTTGCAACGTCCTCCTCAGACTCTAGAAGCACTTCAAGAGGAGTTGGTGGTTGCCTGGAATGAGATACCACAGGAGGACATTGACCACCTGATTAGAAGCATGCCTAGGCGCGTTGGAGAATGCGTAGCACATCAGGGTGCATCCACACATCATTAAAGGTCAAAGGGCTTTAAAGCAGTGCAATCATTTTGAAATTTTTATCATTTACTTATTATGCTTCATTAAGTACTTATACAAAATTTTATTAAAATAAAACCATTTAAACTGGGTGTTCGGATTTATGTGTCACTTAGTATATAACTGAAGGACACTGTTCTTTGATACAATGAAGTACGGGGAAGATGAACATCGAACTGGTATCGTGACGTAACCCTTTTGTAATTGGATTTCTACGAGGAACTGACTTACGGGTACTTGCTGGGTACGCAGGTCTCTTGGTGATGATTAATTTGTTTATAGAAACTCAAAAAGATTTTTCAACCCTAACTCACAAATCTTAGATGTAACAAGGCCGTATTTACGAAGACCGAAAACAAAACGACAGCAACAGTTTTGAATTTTCTGCAATCTGGTGTTTGTTATGGAGTTAAGACAAGGACAAAATAGGATGAAACGGTAAAGCGCATAACCAAACTCTAATAATTTCTTTCGAGTCTTAAAATTGATGAAATATATGAAACCTAACCGGTTCATAATTGGTTTTGGGACATAATAACATTACAAAACTCTTGATGCGATAGTTGACCTTGCAATAGTTATTTATGGGTCTAAATTAATTTCATACGACACTTGACCAAATTTAGTTGAGTTGAGTCTGTGAACCAGTGTTCTAAGACACGCAAAACGAAAGTATAGATCAAATATAGCAAGGGACCAAGTACGGATCCTTGTGAACCACCAGAAGCAACATCAGCACTAGCAGAAACTCCTTGGCTTGTTCTTACCGGTCGCTTGCGATTGTCTAAACAAGATTTAAAAAAACAAAGAGGACCGTCAGAAAGACCGTAGTAATTTAATTTCGATAGAGTGTCACGCTTTGATGTGCGTATTTGAAGGTTATGACTTCAACAGAAGTCAGTCAGTTTCCTTCAGTTTGTCAGTCTCATACAAAACAACGGTGTTCCAGACTGAATGTAAAAACGGCGCACGACATGGGGCCAAACCAATTGAACAAAAAGCGTTTTCAGTTTGAACATATCACTTTGCGTATGAAGCTTCGTTGCTACGTGCTCCGCGGCACATGCGTTGGTCAGTTTCTTTTCTTCTGCTGAATTACCATCAGATAAATATGCGTCGGATCAACTTGCGGTTGTTCGCAGGCAATTTAAAACGTAAAAGGCGTACGGACCGATTAGGAAGTATCGCGTAGTGAAAGTATTTCGCATTTCAAGCGGATGATTTTGAGCATCTCGTCACCGTTACGACATCAAGGACCTTCCGTTATAAGTATAGCAGTTCACTGAATATTCTCTGACCTTGTCTGTGTAATAAGCTAGGTAATAACCTCATTCTTCGCTGCGTGATGAAACAATCACCGTACAAGGTGTTGCCAGTTCCTACGAGGTATGTAAATTATTCTTTCAAATATAATAAGTTTATATTGTCACACTCAAAATAACTTCATTTTGAACCAAGCAACGTTCGATTCCTCATAGCAGTGCTGGAACGATCCTGGAATGTTTAGTCGGTGAATGATGGTGGACCGGACGTGGATACTAAGTTGGGACTGATGAAAAATTTTGTGAAACCTATGGATCGAAATGGAAGAGGGTTTCTGCATTCAAAACAAACATTTCCGACACTTAGTGAGGCAAAAATTAAACGTAAAACATCGACAACAACATTCTGAGATTAATGTTCATTCGAGTGTTTATTAGTACTCTTACACACATTTACTTACATTTTACAAGTATAAGCAGCAAATAAAATGCCTTATAACCGTGGGTTATAGAAAAAATCGAGTGCTATGCACGACTTTTTGGATACGTTCTACATAATAACCACCTTGTTTTGTCCATGTCAAAAAAAAAGTATTTTAATTTTGTTAATTTAGAAATTGTTTGAGAATTACGACTTATTTAAAATAAGAAAGTCACAACCAAACATGCTGTTTGGACTGCCACTAGTGGATAGATGTTTCGCGCTTTTTGGCAACTCATCAGCAACTATTCTCTAGCCAAGGTATGGGAGATGCCGCAATGAGACAGCGCAAAGCACCATCACCACTATGGCCGCTAAAGGCTGACGATTCTGGTAATAGTTGGCGCTTTGCACTGTCAATCTCGAAAACTATGGACACTTATGTACTACATCTACAACATATTAAACAAATATATAAACGTTTTGTGGCGGTTTTTGTTGTTTGTTTTATACAAAACGCGGAGTAACATTGCAGGCACCCTATGAATTTTAGATACGTAAATACCGATTCCATTTAGACTCAATGCACACTGAAAAGAAAAATAACTGTTAGGAAGCGGCGCACAGTGAAAGTTGTATATGGTAAGTAGACCATTTCGGTACAACGTGGTTTTAAAAATACATCTTACGCTAAACCGAGGCTAATTCATCATATTACGACAACACAGGCTTTATTTTCAAACTGTAGCGCTTTAGGTAATCTTTGGATTTTAGTATCGAGTGTTTCTCCATCATCTGGATTTGTATGATCTGCCAGCGACATCAAAGCTTTGTTTTGAGCCAAATCTCGCCACCTGTCACGATGCTGTTCACATGGTCGTCCAGAATTGAATTAAATGCTGGTACATGAAGGTGTAAGGTCTCTATCTGATGATATGTCATTCTGTTGTGTTCGTCAAGCATTTTCCCCACAGCAGTAATGTTTTCCTCTGTTACTGACGTTTGCGGTCTTTCTTTTGGAATTCTCTATACCACCTCAATATAGTCGTACTGGGCTATGCGTAAAGTTATACCGTAAAACTGCCCTTGTCTCATTACGTGACCACGATGCCATAGTCCGCTGGCGTCTACTACGCACTCATGGACATGTCTCAACATGCAGTAACATGCAGCCTCCTCCGTCCGTTTGTCAAGCCATATTGCAAAACTTTTATAGTGCCGTTAGTGCATACTTTCTTCACTGTACCGAAGAGGTAGATCTGATTGCTAATCTAGCGAGCAATACTGAGGACAGATCTCAAATGACAGCTCTATTGCGAAAAAGTGTTAAAAACGCTTGTTAGGTTTCGTTTCAACAAGCAAGCTGCTAGAATCGTATTCAAAACATCGTAAAGCCAACGTTTTTCTTTTTGATGCGTGACTTGTTTGTGACGCGTTTTCGCGTGTGTATTTTAAGATGCAATCAACGAATTAAACCGATATATCATTCAGTGCACCTTCCGAAATGCACAAACGCTATCTTATCGGACCGTTCTGAAAAGGATAAATATTTGCTTCCAGAAAGTCTATCGACAGCTTCGAACACAATTCGTATCGAATATAAAAGGTTGAACAACGCGTGTTCGCTGATCTGGTATTCCACGTTCCACGAACGACCTTGGGACCTTGCCTGTAGCAAGGTTTATTACTTATTACTTTGACGTCACCAGTAATCTTTTCTAAAAAGCGGTTTAGCAATGTTACGTAACTGTATGGCGACTAGGATCTATCGAAGTGAAAACGAGTTCAAATCTTGATTAAGTTGCAATTCTCATAAAGTACTGTCATTATAACAAGTTGTATTACAGCAAGATTTCCAAGTTCCTATAGACAAATATTAGTATTTGTAGCAGTGTTCACAAAATGTGTCATTTTGGATGCATCGTGATTCAGTCTCATAACTGTTTACAATCATCAAACATTTGTATTAATATTGTCTTATCGTCATTGTACTAAATAATAAATATCAACTCGGGCGTTCCGCACAGATCGTTTCTGGGGCCAACGTTGCTTCCAGTATACATTAATGACCCCAGCAATTTGACTCAATAATATGTATTGTCATGGTATTCGATGGTTTTGCGCTTTGTTCCGCAATATCAACTCTGGTGCTCCGCAAGGATCCTTTCTGGGCCAACGTTGCTTCTAGTCTACGTTAATGATCCCAGAAATTGGACTCAATAATATCTACTGTCATGGTATTCGATGGTTTGGCGCTTTGTTCCGCAATATCAACTCGGGTGCTCCGCAGGGCTGCTTTCTGGGGCCAACGTTGCTTCCAGTCTACATTAATGACCCCAGCAATTGGACTCAATATGTATTGTTATGGTATTCGATGGTTTTGCGCTTTGTTCCGCAATATCAACTCGGGTGGTCGGCAGGGATCCTTTCTGGGCCCGCGTTGCTTCCAGTCTACGTTAATGATCCCAGAAATTGGACTCAATAATATCTATTGTCATGGTATTCGATGGTTTGGCGCTTTGTTCCGCAATATCAACTCGGGTGCTCCGCAGGGCCGCTTTCTGGGACCAACGTTACTTCCAGTCTACATTAATGACCCCAGCAATTGGACTCAATATGTATTGTTATGGTATTCGATGGTTTTGCGCTTTGTCCGCAATATCAACTCGGGTGCTCCGCAAGGATCCTTTCTGGGCCAACGTTGCTTCTAGTCTACGTTAATGATCCCAGAAATTGGACTCAATAATATCTATTGTCATGGTATTCGATGGTTTGGCGCTTTGTTCCGCAATATCAACTCGGGTGCTCCGCAGGGATCCTTTCTGGGCCAGCGTTGCTTCCAGTATACATTAATGACCCCAGAAATTGGACTCAATAATATCTATTGTCATGGTATTCGATGGTTTTTCGTTTTGTTCCGCAATATCAACTCGGGTGCTCCGCAGGGATCGTTTCTGGGGCCAACGTTGCTTCCAGTGTACATTAATGATCCCAGAAATTGGACTCCATAATATCTATTGCCATGGTATTCGATGGTTTTGCTCTTTTTTCCGCAATATCAACTCGGGTGCTCCGCAGGGCTGCTTTGTGGGGCCAACGTTGCTTCCAGGCTACATTAATGACCCCAGCAATTAGACTCAATATGTATTGTTATGGTATTCGATGGTTTTGCGCTTTGTTCCGCAATATCAACTCGGGTGCTCCGCAAGGATCCTTTCTGGGCCAACGTTGCTTCTATTCTACGTTAATGATCCCAGAAATTGGACTCAATAATATCTATTGTCATGGTATTCGATGGTTTGGCGCTTTGTTCCGCAATATCAACTCGGGTGCTCCGCAGGGCTGCTTTCTGGGGCCAACGGTGCTTCCAGTCTACATTAATGACCCCAGCAATTGGACTCAATATGTATTGTTATGGTATTCGATGGTTTTGCGCTTTGTTCCGCAATATCAACTCGGGTGCTCCGCAAGGATCCTTTCTGGGCCAACGTTGCTTCTAGTCTACGTTAATGATCCCAGAAATTGGACTCAATAATATCTACTGTCATGGTATTCGATGGTTTTGCGCTTTGTTTAGCAATATCAACTCGGGTGCTCCGCAGGGCTGCTTTCTGGGGCCAACGGTGCTTCCAGTCTACATTAATGACCCCAGCAATTGGACTCAATATGTATTGTTATGGTATTCGATGGTTTTGCGCTTTGTTCCGCAATATCAACTCGGGTGCTCCGCAAGGATCCTTTCTGGGCCAACGTTGCTTCTAGTCTACGTTAATGATCCCAGAAATTGTACTCAATAATGTCTATTGTCATGGTATTCGATGGTTTTTCGTTTTGATCCACAATCTCAACTCGGGCGTTCCGCAAAGATCGTTTCTGGGGCCAACGTTGCTTCCAGTCTACATTAATGACCCCAGCAATTGGACTCAATATGTATTGTCATGGTATTCGATGGTTTTGCGCTTTGTTCCGCAATATCAACTCGGGTGCTCCGCAGGGTTCCTTTCTGGGCCAACGTTGCTTCTAGTCTACGTTAATGATCCCAGAAATTGGACTCAATAATATATATTGTCATGGTATTTGATGGTTTTTCGTTTTGATCCACAATCTCAACTTGGGCGTTCCGCAAAGATAGTTTCTGGGGCCAACGTTGCTTCCAGTCTACATTAATGAATGGTTTTGCGCTTTGTTCCGCAATATCAACTCGGGTGCTCCGCAGGGATCCGTTCCGAGGCCAACGTTGCTTCTAGTCGACATTAATAACCCGAAAAATTAGACTTAACATTACCTAATCGTCATTCTACTAGATCGTTTTTAGCTTTAGTCCACAATATCAACTAGGACGTGCCACAGGGATCGTGTCTGGGGCGAACATTGTTTCTAGTCTATACGAATGACCTCATATCAGCAATCATAGCTTTGCAGATGACAGGTAGCAAAGGACTGATGGCAAATCTTTACTAACTAGCGCATCTGCTTGAATAACTCTGTAAACTTTGATAAGCGTCAGAGGAGGGCGATGCTGCTAGCAGGTGGTACTTCTTTAACATACGATCTCAATTTGCATCTTCATAGACAAAAGACGAAGGACTTTATTTAGCAGCATCTAAACAACAACACTGGATTGCAAAAGCTGCTGACCGCGTTTGGAAGTAAAGATTTGAACTAAAAATTGTAAAGAATTTATTCTTCACACAATAGTA